AAATTGCCAGAGCCTGTCTGTCTCCTGAGGTGGTCTGCACCCCTGGCTCAAGAGAAAGGAACCTTACAGCCATCATGCTGGAGGCAGCAGGTGGCTGTGGGGAATCCCATGTACGAAGCTAGAAAAGGTGCTTCGGACTTCAGAGAAGCATAAAAACCAAGCAAACTGAATTCTACCCTTATTTTATTTTATTTTATTTTTGGTCATATGCTGTAGCAGGGAAGCACTCCCCCATTTTTTTCCCTCAAAAATCATTCCTAGTCACTGATCAAATATTTGTGAAATATCTGTATGCAAACTAAGTTGTTGTGGCTTCAGACAATAATACAGAGTGGTGTGATCAGAAATGTTCCTAGGGGTGAAAGGAACTAAATTCTGTAACAGTGGATAAAATATAATCATATTCATTTAAATAATAAAGCAGAAGTACTCCTTAATTAAAATTACAGTAAATTCAATCACAATACTATGAATCTCTCTTCTGTGGGAGAAAACTGTTACATAAGCATGGATTTCATTATTATGCTAGCCTAATAAATCCCTGAAAGACATCTGCTACCCTCCTGACACTACTTCTCTCACCACATACAGATACAGCTTTCATCTCTGCGGTAGTCCATGCTACAAACATCCTTCTGTGGTTTCCTCACCCCATAATGTTTTCTGGAGGCGAAAGACCTATGGCCTTCCATTATTTTCTAACCTTTTCAGGCATCTGCAGCTGGGAGAAGGGATTTCTACTGAGGTATTTGTTTTCACAGGGCTGCCAGCTGACCATCCTCAGTTGTGGTGGTCAGTGTTCATGAAAATCAATCTGCAAATTTAACAGCATGAAGCCAGATAGTTCCTTGTCATATTCAGACTTGCTCAGCAGCTAGCTATGTTTGATAGACAATGATTTGAAGTGCAGTGTGTTTTTATTTTGTTAGGGTTTGGATTTTTTCTTATGTGCTATTTTTTATCTATAAAATGCAAGGTGGGTGAAAGGGGGTTTCTTTAAAAAAAAAAAAATTCCTACGGTGAATATGCTTTCCTCCTAGAAATTCTATTTTTATTAGCTCAAAAATGATTAAAGGTTGAATCTTGTAATGGTTGATATGTCAAAGAGCTCTGGCTGCGTTCCACTTACAGCAAGCACCAAAAGAATAAGAATTTTTATTATCTTTCAGTTCTAGTAACCTTTTAAAATTAAATGGCAGAATGGATTTTCCATATTTACTTAGCAATAAAATAGCAGACCCCTTTGCAGTTTATATTTAGCAGGAAAATACTACTTTTAAAGAAAAAGTGTTAAAAAAATTAGTACTTTTCCCCTTTTTGCAAATCTGCAATTCAGGAATGAATTAACATATCTGCGAAGAAAGAGCGGTTTTCATGGAAGCAGAATGTCTGACATAGACTTTCATTGGCTTCTGGTGACCCTGTGAACAGGAATATGCCTGTAAAAGCGTGGATTCTGTTCTGTTTATCATTTTGCTATAATTTTACCTCCATATGATTTAGTTTCAGTCTGCGTTAGATTTACATGCTGCTTTTAATTGCTGCTGCAGCTCTGTAGTCTCCTTTAACAATCTTTTCTGGATTTTTTCAGACTGTACACTATAACATTACATTTAACATTTACATTTAACTGTACATTATAACATTACTATTACACTGTAATGCATCTAAGGGCACCTACACTCATGACAACCTGTGGTGCTCTCTCCTATCTCTCTTCTCCAAGTTCCACCATCTTTGCATTTACCTTCCATTGCTGCTCCTTGAGTAGCATTCATCCTTCTCCACTCTCCTCCAAACCCCCTCCCTGCACTCAGGGACACAGACACAGCACAGCAAAACTCAAGGCTGGGTTTAAGCTGCCACTGAAGAAACATCAAAAAAGCTGTGGCCAGATGACATGCAATTTAACAACAGGGACTTTCTTATCTTTGTAACTGAGTGCTTGGCCAGTATAGTTCCCTGATTAGAAAATTCCTTGAGAAAGGTGGCCTGGAAAATAATCCTCTCTTCATCTCCCAAACCATTGAGGAAACTTTCTCATTACTGTCTGTGTTTGCAGTACGTGGGCAAGATAAAGGATATGGTAGGGACTTTGAAAGCTGTGCCAAAAAATCTTGATGATTAGAAGTTGAGAATTGACAGCTGTGACGGTAATGAGAAAACTGCAGATCCTGAGGAGACGCCAGAGAGAATAAATTCAAATCATACTTAGAAGTTTAGATTACATATCTCTAAAGCAAATTTCTGAAAAAAACATTTTCAGTTCCAGATATATTCATTGCCTTTTCCTCCTATCAGCTTAACCTCATATAAAATTGCTTCTGCATAGTTCCTATCAAATTGAATTTTGATGGGATCTAAACAGTGTGGGAAATGAAGACCATGACTCCTTCCTGGGCACCAGTTTGTTTCAGTTGGTTGTGGACCTTCTCTTAAGTTAGTTGTTCCTCTTAGACCCATATGATCATTTCTGTTCAGACGGTGGAAAAAAGGCCAAGGACTGCCTGAACCTGCCAGAAAGCTCCGGTCAAGAAACCAAATAAAAACAGAGGATGAACAGCATTTGAAATTCGTAGTAAACCCAGAGATTTCCTATGAAAACTAAGTAAAATTGTTTCTATTCATGAGCTTCTAAATTGAATACATCAGATCTTGTGCTTTGAAGTGTTGGTTGTTTTTTTTTTTTACTTTAATCCCCTAATTCTCATAAAGAGACTAGATAATCTTCCATTTATAGCAATGTAAAGCTTGGTTGAAATATACAATATTGTTTATTGTTTATCTATGCAAAGTATGAACTTGCATTTAAAATAGTTTAAAAGCTACTAGCAAGAGAAACCAATTTTATTTATATCTCTCTGGCTGTTTCAGTGATAAACAGATGGCTTTAAAGCACAGCTTTCCCACGCAGCATCCTATCAACTTAAATGGCAGGAACCTTGCAGCTTGATTCTGTAGCTAGGGTCACATCATGTTCTCCTCCAGGCTCCCTGTGCTTCTTTATTCAGTAGAAGTATTCCTCTCTGTAAGTCTGTCTTCAGTTGTTACATTAGGCATCAGTAGCTTACAAACAGATACCTTACATGAACTGTGGGCTTCTAACTCTTCTTTTGAGTAGCACAGAGCAAATGAAACCATATCGACGTCCAGTGTAATGCTATGGAACTGTAGGTAATAGATTGTTTCTAATAAGCGCTGGAAGTCTCTGAAAACAGTGTTGTATTTTTATGAAATCGTGATATTAAGGCACAAAGATTATACTTGCAGAAACTTGGTTTCAATGCTATTGAAAGAGGATGGAGACTTCAGGCAGAATGTAGGTATTGAGCTAAACTTGACTATGTTCATGTTTAATTATATTCAAAATATAATAGCCATATCCCTAATACAGGGGACTGAAAATAAGAATTCCAGCATGTTTGGAAGTCTTCTGTGGAAGCTGGAAAATATTCAAAAAAGATAAGTGTTGCCAATATCCTGTTTCTTTGTTTACAATAATATTGCTGTAGAAGTACATCTTGGATATATTGAAGTTTTCTGTGGTGGAAAAAGACAGGTAGGTTCACAGTGGCTGAACAAAAGTGAAGTTTGAACCATGTTTTTGATACAGGATTGTTGATGTGTTACCGTTGGCTTTAGTTGCATGTTTATGTGAGAGTATCAGCTCTTAAAATCAGTGATGTTAAAGAAACAAAGTGAGTTTTGGTGTAATGGGAAATAAGGTTTAAAAAAAAAAAAAAAAAGTAGCAACAACGTACCTTAAAAATAGGTTACAGATATATTTGTTTCATATATCACTATACTGATGATAAGGATCATCTGCATTGTGTTTGTTCATGTTGCTTGTTTGATCATTTCAGATGTGTGGGTATGATATAGTGTAACATTACCACTTCAGACCTCTAGAAGTTCTTTTGGAAAGAATTTCTCATCTCAACTTTATAATTTCCTTTTTAACGTGGTTCTTGCATAAATTCTGAAAGCAGACAAATACTTGCAACTGTGATCCTTTAAACAACATGAGAGCACACTTATAAATTTATAGGATAAAGTTAGGAAAACTGTCGAATTTACCAAAATAAACACTTTCTAAATATCAGGCTACAATTTTCAAGGAACATATGATTCTGTGTGCTATCAATCTGTGTGCCAAACTTGAAGATGCAAGGATGCAATGTCTTTATCCATTTCAAGTTAGATCTCTGAACTTGGGCTTTATTTAGACAGATGCTGTTGCCATCAGTTGTACTGTTGCAATATTTGAAGAACTTTTTCTCAACGATACAAAGTGAATGATTCAGAAAGCTCTAGCCTCTTCTTAGAAATAAAAGCCTGCTACTTTCCACTTTAGTCAAGTTTTTAATTTTAGAACGTTTCAACATGCTGTAATTCAATTGGGAAAATTGTATTTTGGTCTAATACTGAAGTAGTGGCTAGACTGTACTTCTGTCATTAATTTGCTATTTGTTTCTGAAATCATCATGAAAGAAGTACTATTTAAGAAACGGCCTTGTGATTCTGATTTTATTTTTATAACACTGTGAAGAGTAGAAGATTTGTTCTTGTTTGTGCTTGCATAAGCAACTAGAATGACTGCATGTGGTTAGTGGACTTTAAATAGCAACTTGAGTATAAAATGTTCAGTTTTCAATTGAAGTGTATGAACAGAAGCCAGGGCTTTTTAACCTTCTAGTCCCTAAAGTCTGCGTATAGAGCAAACTTAAAAACACTTTGAGGTTTGACTGTGTTTTTACAGTGGAGTAACAGTAGTTTATTAATTCTAAAACATGAAATTATGCATATCCATCTTAATGCATTATAATAATTAATTTAGTTGACATGATTTTTATGCAGTAACTTTTTTGACATTTCTAGAGTTTATCTTTAAAATTTATATACACTCCTATTATGTTATTTTATTAATCGTATTTAAAAAGGGACATTAGATATTGAATATTGTACCTCAATTTTATTGTAATGATTTTACTGGTTACCAGGTGGGGTGGCAGTTGAAAAATTTGGTGAATGCACTACGAGAGGATCCGAGTGGTGTTATCTTAACTTTGAAAAAGCGACCTCAGAGCATGCTTACCTCAGCACCAGCTTTACTGAAAAATATGAGATGGAAGCCCCTTGCTCTGCAGGTAATGAAGCTTAATCATAAGTCATACACCATCATTTTAGCTATAAACTATCTCAGTGATGCTTTATTGTGCTTCATCTCAGCAGCATATGGATTTACTCTTGTATGCTTTGAAAAATTGTTTCTGAAATGATTTCTCTGCAGTTTGTTCTCATAGGCTCAACTGAAGTTAAACCTGTTAGTAGAACTTGTCGAAGTTCAGAAGTAATCAGCACAGTGCTTTTCAAGGCAAAAAAGTAGTCCCAAAGGCTTTTCTAGCCATAGGGAAGAAAGCATACTTAAGGAACTTACAGATTTTAGTTTATCGTCGTGTTAAGTTTTCCATACAGTACGACTTCAAAGAAAGAGATATGGAAGTGATCTTTAGTCCTCAGTTTGATCTGTCATGGAATTGTAGGAAAATATATGTGGTGATTTTCTTCAACAAAGCACATGACCAGCAAAATTTGCCCATACAAATAAATCTGCATGTTTGTCAGAGTGTTCCTTGTGAAGGAACCATTGCATACGGATTTAGTACAGGATGACCAGCTGGATCTTTATTTTTAGTAAGCCTACGATGTGGTGAAAACCATGGGATGGTTTCATTAAAGCGTTCATGTTTCACTCCAGGATAAAATGTCAATGTGATGGATTTCTCTAGGAAATAAAAGTTATCTCCACTCTGATAAAAAGCATGTAACCAACAGATGGAACTGAAAAAGAATCCCTTTTTTTAAATTCAGTTCGGATAGGGCAATGTTTAGAATTTTATTTTCTTTGCATAATGAATGCATTCTTCAGTACGTTTTTATTGCCACAGTAAAAAGTCTAATTTAAAATTAAGTACATTTGAGAGAGAAAAGACTTCCACATAGTTCAAGAGAAAGGAAAATGAGATGTGGAAATGCCACTGCTAATGGCTGTGGTGTTTGCCATTTAAAATAATGGTAGATTCATAAAAACAATTAATATCTCAAAGAACTTCTTTCAGCTATATATTTTTATACATTTATTTGATCATGATTGAATACCTCATTGTCTGTCAAACTGACTAAGGTTATGAAGATTGGGATGTCTTGGTCTTTCAGATATCAAGTACTGACAATATGTGTAACAAACTTTGAACCAAGAATATCACATGAGTGTCTAAACATAAAATTGCTGATCTGTATGCATAAGTGTGTATGAATGTCCATGCTTGAAGGCTCTGCTTTTTATCATAGTTTTAGTAAAAATATAAGTACAAATGAAAAATGCATATTGTTGCTTCACTGCTTTAAATGAGATCAAATGCTTTCATTCTGTATCCCTTTTGGGTGAGTTAGTTTCAGTTTGTAAACTTCAGTTTATCATTTGCCTCTAGAATCATTCAACTGAAGATCACACAACAGAAGTTTATGAGACAAGCTGTTGATCTTAGCAATTAGGCCATTAAATCAAAAGGGTGGGAAGAAATTGGATGGAAACCAATTTCCACCAAACAAAGTCCAGTAAGAATGTGAGGATTCCTGCAGTCCTGTTACAGTGAAGGCAATCATGAGACAAAGTTGTGAGCGTGTTTGAAACTCCACACTCAGTTCTAGAAACAAAACTCCTTTAGTGAGTTCTATTTGGCTCTTATTTACATCTCAGCATCCTTAGTTCAGCGCAAATGCTAAGGTTTTATTCAACTTATTTAACTTTATAAAAGTTAAATATAACAGAACAGTTACTGTTTCATTCATCTGCATGAATTTTAAATTGATCTATCTTAGTTGACAGCAAAATGAACCATACACATGCTTCTTTTTCCATTTGGTGATAAAGAGTGCTGACAGCTAGATCAAATAAAGATTACCTCTGTTAGATAAGATGAAACTGAGTCTACATAGAGGTTTTCTATAATGTTTTCAGGTTGAGTGAAAGATAGACATTTTTGTTCGTTTTTGGCTTTTTTTTCTGATATCATAGAAAATCTGGGCTTATTTTCTGGGCTAATATGAATACAAACAGGGACACTGCTAAACATTAAAGAGATAATCCCAGTATCGTGACGCCATTCTGATACAGCAGGAAAAGGTCAGAACCTCATTCAGTACTTCTGTGTGCGGTGTACATGTGTGTCTGTTGTAATTTGTGATTTTTAGCGGGAGAAACAGCAGTTTTCCTAAGTAGATTATCAAAAAAAGCTCCAGGGTGACGTGAAGACAAACTTCAGAGGCTGCATACAGAGGAGATTTTTGTTGTTAATTTATGCAAATGAGAGGTGAGCAAATGTTAGAGTCTGTTGGTGTTGAAGTTTAAATGCAGCCTGAGTGTGAAATTGGTGCTGTATGCTTGATTAATAAAAAGCAGTAAAAAAAAGAATACAATATAATTGATTGTATAGCTATTAAAATATGAGGTAGTATTATAAAATTTGAGATAATAAATATAGCTAATAAAAATATGTTTTAATAGCTCCTAATTTTCTATTGCGGTATTTGTTTATTATAAAAGACAGAAAATGTTAGGAAAAAGAATCTTCCAAAAAATCCTGTGTTCTGTGATTGAAGTAACATAGTGGCTGTTCCAAAATTACTTTTGTTCCAAATTCACATAATCATGTGCTTGGAAGTTAGTGAGAGAGGACAAAATAAAAATGATAGCAAACAGGAAAAAAGATAAAAGGAAGAGCAGTACTTCCATCTCCTTTGGAGTGCAGAGGAAAATATGATAATTTGTTTTCCTGTATTAGGATATCATGAAATAATTGAGGATGTTATAACTGTGCTGTCATCTCAGAGCTAAGTTAATTGAACCATATGTATAATTCAACGAACACAAGCTATAAAGACATTATGACTCAGTATAATAATTCTGTTAAAGTACAGAATGTGAGTGAAAGCCTCAAGAGACTTTAGAATAAATTGGGGAGATGAAATTGTAATAAAATGTGGATTAGGATCTGGAAAAGTTTGCTGTGTTTTTTTCTTTGGCTCTGCAAATGAGGAGAACAGAGGAAAACGCGGTGTCACAACTTGCAATGACTGAGTTGGAAAAGTGTAAATTTGCCCCAGTGTAAGGGGGCTGACAAAAACAGAACTAAGAATTTGAATGCATGCCATCTGTGAGGATCTTTAATGGTTGTTAGAGCAAACGTAAATATTTCAGCTATTAAAATACAAAACACTGAGATTGAAAAACATTTGAAAGGTTTTAAAAATTAATTTTTGCTGAAAATGGATAGTGTTCAGCCATTGGTAAAATGCATTTTGCTTGTTTAGCTTATGATTCTATGTAGGAACATGAAGTTTGCCATTTGCAGCAGCATGAAAAGCTGAATTTCAGAGAGCCATAGGAAGTGTGCCTATAAACTGGGAAAACACTAGAGGAATCCTCCAGTTCAGGCGGTATGCAGGTGCTACCAGTATATCTTACCGATTTGGGATGTGACTTGGTATGTCATCAAACCAGTATCCCACCCATTCTGTGTAGCAGTTCTGAAACTTATTGCCAGTGGCTTGATGTAAAGGAAAACAGTACAACTAGCTATGGCTGTACTATTAACCATAACAAGCGTGTATGTACAAGTTCATTAACTCCATCTGTAAGGTCCACCAGTAGTGAAAGGAAAACATCCATTTTTTCCTCCCCCAGTGTCCTGATTAAATAAGGTGGTTTGGGTTTTTGCTTTCAGTCACTTGATGATTGTCTCTTTTAATATCTATCAGGTATACCACTTCTTGCAGTAATTAGAGTTCTCCCTTAACACACTTTGGAATCATGACAGAATGTTGGAAATCGAGGGATTTTCAGCCTATGTTGTTTTTTTCATTGCTTTTATAAAATCTGAGTTAGACAGCTATGGCCTTGGAGAATTGTTTTTTTGGTTTTTTGTTTTGTTTTGTTTTGTTTTTTGCCTTTGCAATGAAGGTATTCATTAATATGGTATTGTACTACAAATATGAAGATGTTATGCCTGCAATGTAAGACCTACTAAATTTGCCTTTCAGTTACTTCCTCTGGTACACTGGTATTTCAGATTGCAATGTTAGTACTTCTGACTGTTACTGAATATGCTCAACAAAAAAAACAAGTTTCATCTTTTTTTTTTTTTTTTTTTTTTTTTTTTTTTTAACTTCTCTCATTCAAGATAGAGATGATTTAATTATCTTGGAACTTTCCATATTTTTGTCTGTCCCCGGAGCAATCAGCTGGCAGTTCAAAACATAATATAAATAAACCTCTTTTACTCTAGATCGTCTCTTTCATTTCTTCTTCCCACTTTGAGTTTTTCTTGGGAGGTTTCAAAGGAAGGCTCTCTGAAGTGCAGTTTGAACAAGGGGGAAGGTTCAGTGAAGAAGAATCTTAGATTCTCTAAGTTGGTATCACCATGATAGCAAAGCCTGCAAAGCCATCTTTTACTTCTGGAAAATGCTTTGTAATTATTCAAAAGAAACCAGACTTTGACTATGGTGTGAAGATGTTTCATCCAGTGTCTTGAAAAGGAATGGTCACGCTTCAGCTAATTTGGATGAAGTGCTGCCGGTTTCACTGATGTCAGTGAGGCTGGGGGCAGATCCAGCTGCCATCTTGTGTCTTGACTCGGAAAAAACCTTTTGACTGCACTATTCTGCCACAGTCTTAATCAAACTTATTTGAATGTCACATTTTGTATATTTAAAATAGTTCACTGTACTGTTATATATGTGATTAAATTCTACTGTTAAGAATTGCCACAACCTCAGCATCTGTATTATTTTAAAATAATCTTTATTTTCAATCTCTACACATCTCTACTATGCTATCTTCAACATTTCAGCCTCCTGAGAAGCAACAGTAACAGCAGAGTGCTTGAACTGAGAGAAAATCCTACCTTTATTATTATTTAGTATTTTTCCTCATTATATTGCTCTTTTCATTCCACTATAGGCAATGTTATGTTCTGTTTGAATCATATACAATTAGAATTAATGACTTTACACTTTTTAATCATTAAATTTGGATAAAATGCTAAACTGTTGGCTCTTCAGTTGCTTAGCTGTCTCTTAACTACATGGAAACTTAGCACTTTTTGCAATATTGTTAAAATTAATTTGGACTGGGTTTTTCTACAGAGTTTGAATTGGTTACAGAATTTCATTACTTCATGTCATGTTCATCTTATAAAAGTTTGTTATTGGAAACATTTTGTTCAGTAAATCATAATATCTTGGTCCAATATGAAAACATATATTAACAGTAAAATCTGTTTACTGCTGCAAATACTGTGTAAAGATATTACCACTTAAAATATTGTTTTGGTTTTGTTTATATTTTAAAAATTGTATGCCTTTATATGGAGCAATGTTTCTCAAACTGTATATTGCATCTACCAAGGGAGTTAATGAAAGGTTCAAAGAGTTTTAAAAAGCATTAAAAAGAATTTTAGATGGTATATATTAATTATTAATTACGTTCATTGTTTAGAGGAAAAAGAAGCCAATAAAAGAGAAAAAGCTGACAATCTCATTTTGGGAATGGGAAAGCAATGCTAGCTCCTCATACCAAGAAGGAGAGAAGGGGACCACAGGACTGACCTAACCAGAATAGGGCAGTCAGTATATATGCACTGTCACTCAGTAATTATAGAAACTTTTTACTTATTTCTCTCTCGTAGAAGAACTTTGCTGTTGTAAGTAAAGTTGTTTTTCTATTTTCTGGACAGCTGTCAATTTGGTAGAAGATCCATGATGACTAATAATTTTGAACGAGGATGGTGCATCCAGAATGTTTGAGAAACAATACTCCAAAGTGTAATGAAACATGCATATTGTTTTGGTCATTGGGGATTAACACTGATGTAGAGCTTTATGCGGGGTATTTTTGAGGATATTCCAGTTCTAATATTATAACTTCTAAACTTTCTCCGTCAGGTTGTTCCCATGGGTTAAGTATTTAAATCTGTGGTCCTGAAAACATTTTAGTTTTATTGCTGTTTCAGGATTCCCACTTGCCTAGCCAGCCTGCCAAAAGTGACTGCAGCAGAGGAAGTTCTAGTCTTTGAAAGAGAGTTAACTCAGTGATAATACTTGTCTCCAAATCAGACATACTGGAATTGGAGTTCTATGATGTTCAGTGTGCCCACATGGCATAATATAGTCCACTACATGACTGCCATTGACATATGGGATAGATGCGATCTGATTTTCTTGTGGATGCACTGATTGACTTAAACTAAATGATTGGTGAGAATTGCAATGCAAAATGACTCAAGGGTGCACCTTACTTGTACCCTGAAGGTTCTGAAGGCTCCCTTTTCAATAAGGAGGGCCTGAGACTTTTAATTCCATATGAAATGAAAGCTGAACTCCTAGATCCATGAGGTGGTAACTACTGCAGTGTTCTTGGTGTGTTGAGCTACTGTCAGGGGAGCACATCTGAATGTTTTCACCACGTTGCATTTCTTTTAAAAGAATTCACTGATTTATTAGGTTAAGTGATGGTTTAAAAAAAAAAAAAGTGATGGCGTGTTTTTAAATTTAGTTTTCTCCTTTTGTTCCAGTCTTTCTGGAACAAAGCTTTTCTGCTTTTGTAGAAATAATCCAAAGAATTGAATTTGGCAGTGTGACTTAGATATGTAAAAGACGTGAAATACCCTAGTATGTTTTGGGGTGATCCTAAAAGATTATGCTTTCTCTTGTACTAGATTTTATTACAGCTCCTCTTGGGAGCTTCTGGGCCCTGGGAAGATTTACCTCTATTGCAATTACTTGAGATACCACAGTCATTAGAGCTTCTACCAGCTACACTGTAATTCTCACTCCAGAAAACATGCCAGTATTTAACATAGGAACAGTTTGAGGGAAACTTTCTACCTTTAGAGCTCTATTTCTTTCTTGGTGTTCTAATCACCTCACTTAGCCAAAATATGAGCCAAATTTTGCATTTCTCAAAAACACGCAACTTCCACTGATTTACAGTCTCCCAGCAAACTATTCTGGAGGGCAAGCCAACCAATATAGCTGGGCTGTGTACTCGCAAGATCTTGTGATGTTATATGGTGGAATACTCAGGTTTCGGCAAAACTTTAGTCCAGAAATGAAACACATCTCATTAGCATTTAAATAGCTAAGCCGAGGTAATTCTGGGGAATTCGTTACCTGTGTCTTGTAGCTCCCCAGCAGCTGCTCAGAATGGGTGTGGGCTAATCAATCCATTGTAAGCCCAGACCACAGTTATACCCAGGCATGAATTTCCTTGTGACGGAAAGCATAAATTCCTATTAATTATTGCTGTTAAAAAGCTGCCTTCCTCTTCAGTGCGGAGAGGAGCAAATCCTCTCTCAGTGCTCCAGTCAGTATGAGCTATAAATAGCAATGTTTTGGGCCTAAGAAGTGTAAACATGATCTTGGTAACAAAATTTTCTTGGCTTAGGAAAAAATAATTCTACAAACTGCTCAACAATCTGCAGTGTGTACTTACCATAATAATGCAAGGCATTGGAAAGGGAAAATAAAGGCTTTAGTAAGTGGTTCAAGAACATCTGTGGCTACTGTGTCACAGATGAAAATTTAAACAATAAGGTTTTTGTTCTTCTGAAGGAGTTTTCCTTGTTTGTTTTGTTGGGTTTTTTTGTTTTGTTGGTTTTTTCCTTCTTCCCCCAGTTTTGCCACCACCTTCAGTCTTATTTTTGTAGATTTCAGTCTTCTGCTTGTTTTTATTGGTCGTAAAGTCTTTTACCTGTCTGGTTTTGTGTTTGTGTCTTTCTCCCTTTCTTCCTGTAAGTACTGGCTGTCTTTCACTGGTGTGTTTACAGAATACTCATATTAACTCTATTGAGCAACAAAAGAATTTAGCAGTATCATTGTTTATACGAGAAAGATTTCTACACTCAGCAAGAGAATATTTGTTTCACTTTATTGACATCATTTTAAAAGTAGATGTAATAAGTTTTAATGATACATTTTTTACCATGAAGTTTATTATATTTGAGATAAATCTAACACGGCTCTGCTGCAAAACAAAACAAAAAACACACAACAGAATCCAATTAAAAGATGTCTGAGGTTTCCTAAGTGGCATGTGTTCTTCTTAAAATACAGTTTGTAAAAAAAAAATGATGTGATGGAGAATACTTGCTTTATGAACATAAATTTACAAGGGCTCATTACTATCCTGTGAAAGGACCGTGCTTTGAAAAAGTTCATGCTCTTCAGATTTTTTTGCAGTATAGGTACCAAGGTTAATATCTAGAAAATATGAACTGGTAATCCTCTCAGTGCTTTCTCTGTCATGCTCTGTTCTTCATAGTGCTGGCAGAAGGATCTTTCTGCACACCCATTTGGCCAGTGCTTAGAGCTACTCTGTCATAAATACAGTATGAAATATTTGTGTTCTCCAGCAATTCCTAACTTCAGAAATTATAGGTGTAGTGTACACTGTGTCTTCCCAAAACCTTTTTCTTCAGAGACTTCACTTCCAAAAAGATGCAGGAGAATGTACTCTTACAAAACAAAACTCAGTATTTCTTTAATATTATATTTAAATTTTAGGGTGCAAGCAGACAGTACTTCACTTGCATTTTCTTCTGCTTAAGTTCATCTGTCAGACAAGCCAAGAAGCGTTAGGCAGACACTGTTAATTAGACTACAGCAGTCTACGTTTGCTTCTCATTTTGTTTTTATGTATTTGCATCTGTATAGAGAGTGCTAGGAAATCGTGCTACAATTTCCAGTCCTACAGTGATTTAATAAATTCTTCAAATGGATAATCATTATTTAGCTAGTTAAGATAGCTGAGTTGAAGGAGAAAATCATGCTTAATTTGAGAAAGAGGTAAAGATGTGATTAAGAGGAAGGGGCATGTTTGAATGGGAAAGATAGCTAGGACGCATTATTATTCTGCAAGAAGGGTACAGATTTTTTTTGGTTTTGTTTGTGTTCTTTTTGTTTTTTTTTTACCTGTGATTTACTTTGTGACGAGTTTACCTAGGAAAATGAAGAATAATAATAATTTCCAGTTTATTCAGTATCATAGCACTTGAGGATGCTGTACCTGACTTTACGGCACCTGCAGACAAAAACTGAAGCTTTTACAGCTAATTCTTAAGCTGTAGAACAGATAGGGAGAGACAACATTCAATTTAATGCCTACTTATGAACATTTACTGTAAAGACTAGACTTTTTCTTTATAATGTTAGTTAAATTAAGCAATTCACTGGATTCTATATGCTATTTACTCATGAAGATTTCACTAGTGGCTCTACTAATTACTATTTTTATGAGCACTGGCAATAATCTTGCTGTGCAAAGGGGAAAAAAGTAAGATATGATCAGATGAGTCAATTTTATAAGCACAATACATGTCCATTCATAGATCCACATCCCTAAACATAAGTGTTATTTTTTCATTTTAAAATCATGTAAAAGATTAGAAGTGCTATTTCTTTAACTTTCTGAGCTGTAGAGATTTTTTTTTTAGCTATTTCAGTTACAAGTAAATTATATTTAAGGATAACTGTGATTTTTTTTTTCTCTCTTTCCTTTGAACCAGCCTCTTATTCCCAGAAGTCCTACAAGCAGTGTTGCTACACCATCCAGCACTATCAGCACACCTACAAAAAGAGACAGCTCTGCACTCCAGGATCTTTATATACCACCTCCTCCAACAGAACCTTACGTTCCCAGGTAAAAAGTGTTCAGTACTCTAATTCAATACTCTGTTCTCTCAAATGTAGAATAGTCTATTGCCTATTACACTGTTGTCCTACTTCAAAAGAGAAAAATTATCCAAACCCCTATATATGTAACTATGAAAAGAGTTTATTCCGTTGCCTAAGAGCTGTGATGCAACAATGGAGGCTGTGCCAAAAGCAAGAAACTTTGCAGCTTTGACAATGAGAGCGCTGTTTTGTTCTGCTTTACTAATTTCCTTTTTGAACATATTTCATTAGTGTATGAGCAGTTCTCAGGATTACATCTTAGTGTGGGATTCATTGACCTACCTTCACACGTTCCTAAATGATTCAGTGAAATTTCTTAATACACACGGTTGTTGCTTTCTTAAAATTGTGAGAGAATTGCAGCTGTATCCATAAGGATGGCAATAACCAGCCGGAAGCCTAAAGATGTATTTACAAGTGACCAGCATTTTTAATGTTTCTGTATCAGATGTGGAACGTCCACTCAATATATTTTTAAATTACTTTTTGCTGTTCTTTTAGTTTACTTTCTTACAAACCTGTTAAGGGCACCACGTCCTTTCTTGTATCTGAATTTCCTGTACCTGAGTTTTCTGGTACCTGAGTTTTTCTTAGACTCTACTACCAGTAACTCTTCTAGCCAATTAATAAGATTTGTGACCTGATGCTGACAAGAATTTCCTGGGGGCTGTCCAAGAGTGAGGTAGATGGCAAATTAAATTGCCTCGTGGGGAGGAGAAATCATGATTCTGTGATTAATTCTTACTCTTCAGAGAGATGAAAAAACCTTCCAGGGCAAGAAAGTGACTTTCTATTTCATGATTTAGATGATACCATGGGCCTTTCTTAAAGCCATAAGCTGAGTCTTGTTTTCCTTCCTCATCCCTACTTTATATGCTGCTTGGTCTGGTTTTATTTCTGGGGAGATTAAAAAAAAAATACTGCAGAAAGAAACCCCAACCAAAACACAGTCTTTGTTTACTTTTTGAATGTATAGTTACATGGCAAAGACCTGCCACTCTTGCAGCTGAAACTGTACCCTCCTGAAAGAAATAATGCCTTTGTACTGGTGCTAATCATATTTCCTACCTCAGAAATATTTCTGTTATTTAATAAGGAACGCCTCCTCTTCCTTGAAGTATTTTTGTTAGATATTCATATTTCAGCAGTCTTTAAGTTCAACTCTAGAAATTGGTATCTTCAGAATGCATTTTGGCTATTTATTAATACCATCAAATAATGCTTATTAATGCACAAGTTTGGGCCAATTCTAATGAAATATGATAACACATATTAACACAAGGTTCTTTAAGCTACACATTTTTTATTTTGCCAGATAAATCCTAATGAACTGTAGTTCGTTTCACAAAGCTGCCACATACAGTACAGTGTTCCTGAATGATCTGTTTTGACATTTCATCAGGTTTTTTTGGTCTATGATTAACTATATTTAAGCATGTCTTTATTTTGGGTATTATCAAAATGTTCAGAATCTGTTTCTTAGTTTGTTGTTACTGTTCCAAGGGGGAACTTTAAAAAGTAAAATGCCCACCATTTGTTCCTGGAATAGAATAAAAGATTCGACATTTTGATGTAACTTGTAAAACCCCAAACCCTGCTGTCCTAGTGGTGACACCCACAGATGCTACAGCTTCCAGCACGACCACACACAAATAGCAGGACCCATCCTTTTCTTGTGATGGTTACTGACAGTTGCAGGTAGCAAATTAGTGCTTGGTCAAGTCTGTTGAATGCCTTTGGAAGATACATCAGTCTCCGTTGCTTTCCCGCCAGTGTCCCCTGTCACTGTCACAGTAACGAGCTTTCAGCCCCGTGGAACTGTGCCTTTCCCCCTCATCAGCACCATCTCTGCTCTGGGAAAGCCTGGCAGAGCAGGTAAAATGGATGGAGAGATTTTCTGTAGTTTCAGTGCCATGGCCGATTCAGGATGGCTCTTTCTTTTCCACCATGGCTGCTTGGCTTTGCTTTGTACTCATACAAGGTTACAGGGCACAAAGAGAAGTATGGGTCAGCTTTGTATTTACATGGTCTAGAGGGGCAGAAACTCTGCAGTGAGGGCATGAGGCCACAGCTACTCTCTAGGCAGCCTCCCATGCATTTTGCTGCTCAGAAATTACTGTCTGATTAGGTCTTTTGCAGCCATCTTCAGGTACAGCCATACCAGCAGTTTTTCAGAGTCCTTCTTTACCTAGTGCAAGGAGAGGGCAATCTGCTTGGGGTTCTCTGTGTAGGTTGTGCAGCGTGCTGCTTGCAATAAATTTCTGTCCTGGGACAGCAGCTCATGACAAAGTGTTATGCATTCTTTTTGTTACTGCACAGGTATATCTATAACATCTTGGAGGCCCAAATTGGCTACTACAGAACTCTGTCAAATGCTTGTAGGTTCTTCTTGCTGAGAGGTTAATTTGTAAGAAACTAGACAGAATTTATCCACACTTACCATATGGTCATGCCTTAAAACTATTTGATTCAAAAATTGATTCAAAAAACTGATTTGGAAGTGCACATTTGAAAGTCAACATTATTTCCTTGCCCTAAGTTAGTAAGTGCTAGTATATTCCAAAAAAAATCATAAAAAGAATAGCTGCACATCAACTTTATTTGTATGATTCTTTTCTAAAGAAACCATTAAAATACAATCTGCAGTGGAAGCAAATGAGCAAAGATGTGAGATAACTAGCATATACATACATACGAATACATAATATGTGATCCTGATTTTAGCCAGTTGTATATATTTGCTGCTTGTGTGGCATGCTGATATTTTGCCATTTTTAATTAAATATTCACGTTTTAAAAAATGAATGTCTTATTTAAATATATTATATAATATATAATAAATATATATTTTATTTACTGAAGGGATGAAAAAGGAAATCTCCCATGTGATGATGTTGGCAGACATACAGTGGGCAAACCAGTTCATACAGGATCCGAATCTCCAAACTCATTTCTTGACCAGGAGTATCGAAAGCGTTTTAATGTGGTTGAGGAAGATGCAGTGTTATACTGCTATGAGTATGACAAGGGAAGAACAAGTGGTCCTGGAAGGAGAGAGAGCACACCAACGTACGGTATGGCATTTTGTTATGGCAGTTTGTTGATTTTAGGATTTTTCGTACATCTGGTCTTGTATTTAAGCACAAAAATAATTCCAGTGGCTATTGAATGTGCTGAGAATTTTGTACAGATTTAGTTTAATTTCTACATAAAAGCTTATTCTGTGCAAGCATATATGTATTACTATTATAAGGATGGCAAATCCAGTTTTGTTTGGTGATTTTTCTGAATCTGCGTTCTATAATTTTATCAGCTTAATTTTCCAGATAACTTTTCAGTATCATTTTGACAGAAAAACTGGCAGAAGGCCATGCATTTATGCTAAACCCTCTCTATGAAATCATGCTCCCAGTGTAAGTGTTGGAGTAGCTATATAGGAATTGCTAGGCCTGAATCAGTGATTGAGTAACAAGTGAGAATGCACGGCTAACCAAGGGCACATTGGTGCAAGCAGTGCACCCGGGCAACTGGAAGAGGTGGACCCTGGGTGCATTCCTCCTCACTCTCATTTAAGGGTTAGCAGCCAAAGAAGCAGGATCTCTATTCAGAGATCACCCCTTCTGGGGACTTCACTGACCTTCAGAAATGGTAAGCCACTTGACCTTGTATCTTCTTTTGAACTATATCTTGACAAATGCCTTTACAAGTGTGTTCAAATTGTGGTAGAAGGCAATATAATCACCTTCCCTTGCTCCACAGTAGCATAGGTATAGTAATTCTGCATTAGAAAAAATTTACCAAAGTAATTTTAAAGATCAAAACTTTTTCAGATGAACAAGAAGATGGTGTTCTTTTTTCATGCTGTACTATGTTCTAAAACTCTCTTATTCTTCTCTAGTTTCAGAAATGAAAAATGACTGAGTGTATGCTTTTTTGTATTGCTGTTTTAACATTCTCTAACTTTTTATATGAGAAATGATGACTTGCTATATATAGCAGTCCCTATTTTATAAGTCTGTGTGTTGTCCATGTAAGAATTTCGTATGTAAATGCACATGCATGTTCATGGTACTTACATGTCTTGGATTTTCACTTATTTATTTATTAACAATTTCTGATGAGAGTTTTGCTCCTCAAAGCTTTGTTCTCCAGGTTATTTTCATTTTGAATCTATTGGAATACGGCCTTTACCTAGCATTTTATTTGTATTTTGGACTAGGAAAATTGGTTTCCTGTTGCTATACAAGGAATTGTTCAGTGATAGAGTTGTTAGTACATGGGAGAAAATTAAGAGGAAATTTTGTTTTTATAAAAGTTATTTTGACAGTCCTTGTAATAGCTCAACACATGCTTGAATGTTTTTTCACCCCATTTGCTGTTATTTCAATTATTAAACTGAGCATAGGCTGCATCTTGGAGTTGTTATAGTAATCCTGACATCATATCCCTTTGAGAAGATGACAGGCTTAATCTATGAGGAAGAATATATTTGGTGCATCATGCAGCCAAGATCCAAAATCACCTGGGAACCATGATACAAATTGAGCTTGAGCTGTGTAAAGTATCCTCAGGACTTTAAGCAATGTGCTTGCATTGTGCTTGCACAATATTAAAGGATGTGTTTTTATAAAGTGCACTTGTTCCACACAGCCACACAATGCTCCTGCAAAATCCTCAGTATCCTTTTGATTTTGAAGTGCTTTCAGATGTTTTTTAACCATGCCTATATTGTATGAAATAAATGATAAGTGTTCAAAGTTGATATATTAATTTTATTGCTCCTGTATTTCAGTTGGTGGATGTAGTCAGTTCCATTAACAGAGATGTACTCTCTGTTCCAGATGTTAAATTTTAATACTAGTATTCTAGAGGGAGAACGACACTTTGTTCAAGGACTGCTGAATCCATTATTTTATTACAGGATAGCTTTTGTAGCATATTTTCCTATTAGCTGAAAGGGTTATAAATACATGGATCTAAGACCACTGAAAATCAGTTACTTTTTTAACACACTTCTTATACAGCATTTAACTTTTAATCTGACTTCTTTTTTAACGAATTCACATCACAGAGTCTGTTCTCACTTAAGTACATTTTCTAAAACTATTACCATTCCAGCATCAGATTCACAAGTTTCGCACATGCCATTTGTTAACATCAGATTGGCGGTTAGGCATAACCTAAGGATTTCACAGAAATTTAGTAAATAACATCCTTCTGGCTTACAGTAGCCTATTAAAGAAGGTCCAACGGAGTTCTGAGAAATAGAGAAATAGTTGTTTTCAACATACACTCATCATTAATTATATGGTGGCATTAATTTTCTTTAATACTTTTCAGTCCTCCTTTGTGAGAGTTAATAGGGTCCTCCATGATTTCTCTTTGAGGAGTCTGTTGGCTTTTCAACTGTTAACAAAGAAACTTCTCTTTCGTATTCTTACTGGCTTACAACTGTTGTATAATTGCTGCTAGTTGGCCTTGAAATGCTTCAGTTTGCATCCCAGCAATGAAATTTTCCTGAGTGTAGTCAATAGGCAAAAGAGGTTCAGGTGCTTCACATGGGCTAACGTGAAAGAGATAGTAGCAGCAGCAGACAAATGAAGATCAAGTTTAAGGAAAGAAACAAATTTGTTCATTGCAGTTTGGCTGCCAGACAGAAAAAGAATGTAGATAAATTCAACTGCTAGAGATATTATGGAAAAGTTGTTATGACTATAACTTCTGATAACAATCACAATTTACATGATTTTCTACTTATTGCAGCTTTTTGATTTTGCAAGTGCTTGCCATAGCATCCTGTGAATTTGTTCTAACATAGAAGATAAGGTTGTATTTCTAGAAAAAGTGACCAACATCTTTCTTATCAAGGATAATACATGTGCACTCATGAAACGACTTCTAAATGGTGTACTTCAAATCTCAATGACTTCAAACACACTTAATGATGTGCCCATAACTAATAAACTAATTGATAAATAGGGAATTAAGCATGAGCATTTTGTATTCTCAGTAATTATGTATTTGTGAATTGATCTTGTTGTCTATAGAGAACATACACCTTTTTTTTCCATGTTCATTACAATATCTTAAAAATTTTAAAGACAAAAACAACAAAACACAAAAACAACATATCATTATGCTGCACGTGCATGGTAGTGGTGAGCTTCCCATGGATGCTATTATTTATTAAGTAGACACATTTGAATATTTGCTTTCATCGTAATCAAATATCTTCTTTTTCACTGTATCATGGATTTAACATCAAAAAAGCAGAATGAAAATGATGACCTTTATGTCGGGAGTTTTCTAATATGTAGCTAAAAAAACTTCTAATTTTTTAATTTTAAGCTCTAACACTTTTCAAAACAAAATATTTTCCCTTTATTTTCTGTTAGCAGTAGATAAGAGCAAAGACTGATCTTGTTTCTGAAAAAAAAAAAATCAGTACGTGAGATGGACATTGTGCCATTTGAGATGCCACTTTACATGGTATTTTTTTGCTTCTGCATGCTACCTAACTTGCTAAAAACTGTAGCTCACTTTAAGTAATCCCACTAAGTTGCATTGCACACTTTCACTGAATTTCCAGCTGTATTTGTGGAAATCTTAAGCAGAAATCATAGTTGACATCTTTTAAACATCCCAGCAAAAATGCTATTTGTAAAGGTATCTTAGTGATGTGAATGTGATTCTCTTACCAACAATTCATTCTGTATATGCTTTAAAACAGTTTTCTATATGTGCGTGCCAGGGGCTTTCAGAATAACAGATATTGTTAATGAAAAGCAAACTACGTAATTTCAGTGTGTTTCTCAGTCTCAGGCATCAGTTTGGTGAGGATTTTGTAGGGCACTGGATTTATTTTCTAAAGTTAAAAAAAAGAAATCCATTAAATACTTTTAACTGCTTCTTGCCTGTTAAAGAAAACAGAACTTAATCTCTGGTTCAGAGGCTATGCTGGATCCTCTTTCATAAGCAATGCTGTAGAATAGCGGCTTAACACTTAATTTCTTTTTTTCTTTCAAGAATGTTACTTAAATATTGCCTTTTGGTGCATGATCTCATTTTTTTTTTTTCCTCTGTTTCTAGGGAAACTAAGGCCTATTTCTATGCCAGTAGAATATAACTGGGTCGGGGATTATGAAGATCCCAGTAAAATCAAACGAGACAGTAGGAGAGGTAAGTGATCTGGTCACGTCTTGTACAAGGCATTATTGGTTCTATCATGCTTCAAGCAATGCCACAGGAGGTATGAATACCAAATATATACATGAATATAAGGAAAGATCAGACGCACTCATGAAAGAATCACAGAATCACAGAATTGTAGGGGTTGGAAGGGACCTCCAGAGATCATCGAGTCCAACCCCCCTGCTAAAGCAGGTTCCCTACAGCAGGTGTAGAGACAGACATGTAAAGACGTGTATGAGTTTTCCTAAATTTGTAACCATTGGTTCTACCTTGGAAGATCCCTCAGATAAAAGCTGGTAGCTAGGGGGATAATTTCAAAGGAAAGTATGGATGATACAGTGAACAAGCTTGGGCTGAGCATTCAAAGCAGGTTACTTGTAAATGTATGAGCCCACAGTCAATTGTATTAATTTAAGATCTGTTTTTTTAAAAAAGATTATAGATATGATTATAAGTGTGCCACTGCTGATTTTTTGAAAGCTTCAAGACAACATCAGCATTTGCTTATGTGAATCTTCATGTGAGTTTTCTTTTCATTGTCAGCAAAACTAGAAACCTGAAAAAATAATGAATTTCCCCTTCAGATCAAGATTCAATATCTTCTTGCTACATCCACCAAAGAAGCAAATAAGTTTTGCTAATGAAGAAGTCTTGAAGTCTTAAAATTGACAGCAGATCTTCTTAAGAATATTATGTATACCTAAAAAAAATCATAATTATGCTTTACATTACTCTTTCAACAGAGAATTCATTGCTACGCTATATGAGCAATGAGAAAATAGGCCAAGAAGACTACATGTTTCAAAGGAATAGCAAAAAGGATACCGGAAAAAAGTCAAAAAAGAAAGGAGACAAGGGTAATAGTCCTAGTCATTACTCGTTGTTACCTAGTTTACAAATGGATTCATTGAGACAAGATGTCATTGGCACACCTGGACCAGAGACCACTTTGTACCATGTGAGTAAAAATAATTTTAAAGGAACCTTTTGCTCTGTGCTTGCTATGAGAGACTGTCATGTTTTTGTAGAGGTGTTGAAGACTTTTTTTGACTGGTAATCTTGCAGTTCTGGCCTTGTTTCCTGACCTTCTGATAATAATTTGTTTAAAGCATGCTATTTAGAATCTTCCCGTTATAAATGCGGAACAGACACCTATAACACTGTAACTAGAAGATCTTATGTTTGAAATGTAGTCTGGTATCTCTGTCTTGACTTATTTTGCTACTGATGGAAAGGAAAGAAGCAGTTTGACTGAATGTATTTCAACACAGCATGCCAAGTCACTTTAGATAACTCCTTTACTATAGCTATTGGAAAGGCCTGTTAATGGCAGGAAAACTTGTTGTGTAGGTATTTGTTTTTCCTTTGAGGTGGGGAATGCCCTGTTGCATACTGATTACATGTTGTATGTGTAGCTGTTTTTAATACAGATAGAATAATAGATTTCAGTAACTTGAAAGTCAATTGGAAAGGAAAGAGTCTTCTGAAGGGAATGTAAAATGAGAATTCCAGTAACTTCCTAGTTTTCAAATGTGTCTAGAAAATGTAGGTTGACAGTCACAACATATTTTAGATATGATGTTCAACCTCATAAAATCATTTACGTTTTAGACCTGTCATCATAGAGTAATACACACACAGTTATACAGCAAAACAATAGAAATAATTGTAGTTACCTTCATAAACTAGCACAGAGAATGTGATTTAGATTGCCAGTGTTTAAGGGTAGCAGCACTGTGGGGGGCTTACCAAGAACTTTGCTTTGAAAAACTAACAGCTAGATTTCCATTGAACATGTAAGATCCAGGTAACTCCTGTCTTAGAAGCATTATAAAACACTGCTACAAATTGTTATGTAATAGTTGGCGTGGATTAATTTAAAATAATAGAGTTTTTAAATTCCTTTAAGCTTTTTGAATGGTGGGCCCACTGGGTTCCAAAACTGCTTTTTGCACTACATGTATAGGTGAGTGATAAATTTCAGAAATTATGTCATTATGTCATTAATTATTACATTGTACTTCAGTTGACTCAGGTCTCCAGATGTGAAAAGGTTGTTGCTTTTTTTTTTTTACTTTTTTTTTTTTTTTAATAATTAAGGCACGATGTTAAGCTTTTTTCTTATGTTATTTTCAACCATTTTACGCTTATAGCAAGTTGGAAATCTGATTGTGTAGAGATGTCAATTTGCAAAGGCAAACTGATGTATAGGTGCATAATGCAAGAGGCAGAGGAGTTTTTAAGTAACTGTCTATCCTCTTTGCAATGTATACAGTCTTTTCTATAAAAAAACCTAATCAGTCCGTGAGACCTTGAAATCAAATATTTACAGAAGAAAATTGAAAAGTTATTTGTGTAACAGAGGCCTTCTATTCTGTAAAGAACAGTATGGTAAATTATAAATACTCTTCATGTTTTGAGAGAATATTTATCTCTCAGTGGCATTTCTTTGTTAGTAAATATTGAATTTCTTGTATACAATGAAACTTTTTTTAATGTCATCTTCATTTTCCCTTGGCTGCCTCTATTATCTATTATCTGTTTCCAAAATCTGTATGAATAAACAATATAAACAGATACTGGAAAACTCTTCAAAATTCTTGTGTGAGGGTTACTGAGGAATAGCAACCAGAACTGACTACCAGCCTTCTTCATGCACATTGGACACTCATCTGCAAAATGCACCTTAACTGTTAAAGCATCAATTTCCACCACCATCTGATAATCCTTTTTGCGGATCATTACCACAAATGTGTATCTTCGTAATGCTATTAAATCTTCTTTTTGCTACTTTTCTATTTTTGCTTCTTTGCTATTAGAGCTTCTTTTTGCAAGTTTAGTGGGAATTCATTTACTTATAAACATAAATAAAGGTTATTTGTTCTTTAGAATGCAAATCAGCATTGATCTGCTCACTGGTTTTGGAGCGGAATGTGTGAAGTAGGAACAGTAATAGGAAGCTTGGGACACTGATTTGTTCGCAGGACAAATGGAAGGAGCCCTTCACAAAGCATTCACAACCTTATAGTGCCCTATCACAGGAAGCATCCTGGCTGCCACCATGCAATGCAATACAGTTTCCTGTTTATGGTGGTGCCACCTATGCATATGGGCTTAGAAAATCCTAATCTAGGTTGCAGAAAGGTCTGTGTTTCTTTGCCACGTAGAAGAACATATTTACACTGTGGTCTGAAATAAGGAAGCGTACAAGGATTTACTAATATCAGTTACCTAGTTTTCATAAAGATTTTGCATTATCTGGAAATGGAGTCTCTGGATGAGCACAAGTTCAGTGCAAGAGGAATGGTGATAACTCCAGAAACTGTACTAATAGTAGTAAAATGTACTGTTGTTTTTTTCATTTGCTTTGGTTTGGATTTTTTGTTTTGTTTGTTTTTAAGAAACAGATGTTTTCATCATACTAGAATTTCAGGTGAAGAGAGAGTACTGTGACTCCCTGGGGTGCAAACCACAAGCCAGTGGTCTTTCCTTCCAGGTATCTGTAGATGAACATATCTCCTCAGATCCAGAAATTAAAAAAATACTTCACCAATTCCTGGTTGTTCTTTATGTTAAAAGATTTCATCTATTAGCCTGTGTTCACGTTCTGCTTCCAACATTAGATATCATTGTACCTTTGTCCTCTAGGTTTAAAGGTCTTTTGTTACCAAGTTTTATCTCCCAGTTAGAAACTGTCAGGTTATAATCATATCCCTTTGTATCCTAATTTTGCTTGAAAGGAATAAATGTCCATCCAGGGTTTGTTATTAGAGAGGGTGTTTTCACACATCCTTTTGTCATTCTCATGATTCTTTCAACTCCTCATTTTTCATCTCAAAGTACACTAAATGTTCATCCTCAAGTCTGTATGCAAGAACAGAACATAAAAATCCAGGACTGAGCTACAGGAAAGGAAAGTGACTTTTCTATTCCCATTCACTACTTCTCTGTTTAAATATTAAAAGGTGTTTACTGATTTTAGCCATAGTCTCGGCATGGAAAACTTTACTGCCTGGTATTCCCAGTCCATTGAGTTATATCTGGTATTCCTTGTCCTTGTATGCTTGGCCATGTTGAGACATAGAACTTCTTGGGTGTTCTTTTTGAATAATCTATGTCTCTGAAACAGCCCCAAATATGAAGTGCCAGAGAGTAAGGTCTCTGGATGTTCAGGTAGATCCTTGTGATTCCCCACTCTGCATTATGGAATACTGAAGCTAATAGAAGACTGCGATCTGCTGTGGAATGAAACTTCTGAAACATTTGATTTGAAATGATGCAATTTCTGTGTAAAATTAAAAACACACAGTAACTCTTATATCTTTTCTCTTTTTTTCTTTTTTTTTTTTTTTCATTCAGAAAATGGAATGAAAACCACGCAGCTCATTTAGCGTTTGGGTCTCATCCATGTCATTCTCTAAGTTTCAGTTCTGTGTTATCTTTATTCAATAATAATAATTTCATTATTTTGGAGGCCCTTGGTACAAATGTTAAATAATTTTGGATTATTCAGTTAATGACTATTTCCCCTAAGGATTCCAGGTCTCCTTCCTTTTGAGTTGTGTAGCCATTTAGGTATGCAGGTTAATATGCAGGTTAATATTTCTTTTTTTTCTTTTTTTTCTTGTTTTTAACTATGATTGTTTTGCACAGGAAAATCAGGTTTTACAGTTACACTGATTTTAACTCCTTGCTTCTACTGTGCTTATGCATGATTCTGAAAAGAAAAATCTATGATCAAAAAGCTACCCATAACCACATTGTTATTGTTTTTTGTCCTGTAGACAAAGTGAAGGGCTTGGAAAAAATTACCGTGGTGATTCTTTAGTGCGTGGTGGTTGTTTATTAGCTGAAAATTGTCATTTGAAGGATGCCAGCTGATTCAAAGTAGGTTTCCTGTATTCTGAAGCAATCACAACAATATAGTAGTCTAACATTTTCTTGACCATCAGTATACTAAATTTCCATTAAATTACTGGTTTTAGGAATTCTTATGACATAGACCTGCTGTGATGATCAAAAACATTGTAGTCAAAGGAGCATTTCAGTAATGGCCTTAAAAAATGAACTGCTTCTATCTGTATCCACAGAATGTAACCCATATAAACAGTATAAAAGCAAAAACAAAAACAAAACAAAAAAGCAAAAAAAAACCCAAAAAAACGTGTTATATCTGTGAAATAATCACCTCTTGTATCTGCTTGCAGAAATTTTAAATTCTCATATAGATAGTCTCTGTTCCGCTTTGTTTTGTTTTGTTTTTCCATTGCAGGCTACACTTCTAGCATACACTGATTTCTAGGCAAGTTGTTTCTGCATTCTATTCTCTTTTTCAAAACTGCTGAAGAAATACTAACATGGAGCATTAATGTTTTTATTAAGCCAAGGCAAACTTTGAGCTGCTGCTAATCTAGTGTGCAAACAGGTGTTCAGACTGATCTATTACTGTAGATACAAAACGGTGCAGTTAAAATTGTCTTGGACCTTTGGGGCATAAGAGATGAAAGCTCTGACACATGATTATAGTATTTTAAGTTCATTATATTATTCTGTATAGGAATTTCCTTGGTACATTGTGCTTTGTTTTTGTTACAGGAAAATAATGTGGTTATTTAGTAGGGGGATTATGTCATGAGTCAGAAGGAGTTCTGCGTCAAGTTAATAATAAAGCCCTTATCCAGATCCATACGCTTTCCTGTTAATCTGGGAATAATGCTGCTATAGAAAGAGAAAATTGCATGTAGCAAAGGATTATACAAGAAAAAACAGCCTTGCCTACAAACTGTTTTCAAATGTACACCAGCAAACTTATATTACTGCCCTTTTTCCCTCACCATTCCTGCCTCCTATCCCTTTACCTTTTCTGATGTATGCTCATTTATTAATGTAGGTATCAGCAATACTTAAAGAATTGCTTGTCACAGGAAAAAGAACCAAAAAGAGGTTTTTATCTTCTTG